CTCATCATTATCCTCTCCATCTGAAGATCGATTCGTATTTTTCACAAATAAACAGCAATAAATTGAACAACTCGAGAAACAGAGCAAAACTAAAAAGGTCAACCCTAACACTCCAACCATTCCATATCCAACCTCAATTGGGAATGTGTTAAAAATTGGAATCTTTGGACTTCTACTATAAATAAGTGGGAAGAATAAACAAATGGCAGAGAAGAGTAGAAAGATGAGTACAATAATCAATGTGCATAGCCCTCCAAAAGCACAGCACAGAGAATACCAAATATTATCACCTGGTGTTGAAGTTTGCTCAATCACTGCTGCAGGAATATAAATCCCAGAATTGTTACTTGTTGAAAAGGATGAAAAGTAGCTCGGTATCTTCTTAATTTGAACAATATTCTGATTCAAATCTTGTTGGTGAACTGCTTGTTGCTGCTGCTGACCTTCTTGATTGCCGATTGCTGCTGCTGTTGCATTAGTGTTAGCTCCATTTCCCTCTTCAAGTTTGTGTTGTTGGTTTGGATTTTCCATTGTATTGACATTCTGGTGTTCATTCTCGTCCTTTGTGTGAAGTTTGAAAAGTGTTTTAATTCCCTCAAAGTTTTCAGCACTCGTTATATGCAAATAACACAGCAATTGTTCACTCGTATACTTGGACAGCAATCTCTTACTTCTATAATAGTCATAGTAACGATAGTTTTGTCTGAGCTTTCTTCTCTTTGATTCCAATTCTTCAACTTCTTGATTATCTATGATATTGTGATAATCAAATTCAATTTCAAAATTTGGGAAAAACTTGACTCCAATATCATAAATTGCTTCCTCAAATACCTCGTGATAATGTGCCAGAGTTGACTTTCTAAATTTGTGTTTTGGTCTATTCTTAATATTAAATACTATACAAAGGAGAATGCATCCAACAAGTGTAATTGTGAAAATTGCACTCAAAACTATTGAAAAAGTTCCTTCAGCAACTGCATCTTTTAAAACTACAAAGTAAATGAGAGCTAGTGCCAAAGTACCGACAGCAGCTGCCAAAGTTGAAACACACAAAATGAAAAGGTAGACATTGACAGATTCGAATATTGAACATTTCATCAATTCATCTTGAGTAATTCGTTTCATCACATTTCCCAATAGCATTAATTCCTTTCTCTGTTTATCAGTCAAATTCAATGAATGAAGTGAATAAATTATTTGTTGTTGTTGCAAAATGGTCAATCGTGTTCTCAAATGTGCTGGAATTTGTGGAATTTCAGAAAGTAAATCAAACGAAATTGGTGGAGGATCTTGACTTTTCAACAATTCCAATTCATCAGGTGTAAAATCAAGATCATTATCTAACAAATCATTTTCTGTATCGTCATCATCATAATCTTCCTTTCGTTTCTTTTTCTTCTTTTTTCCTGAATTTTCTTGTTTTTGATCTACTGCACCTTGTTGCTCAACTGTTGTTGCTGTTGCTGTTGCCACTACTACACCTGCTAATTGTTGTTGTTGTTGTGGTTGTTGTGGTGATTGAGGCACAGTGGAAGGAGAGGCAACTCTATTTGGTTGTAAAGGATGATCATTGGTTGTAATGGGTGGTGAACAGGCAATATTTCCATCATTGTGAATGTTATTGTTGTTGGTACTGCTGTTGTTCGGAATATTGTTCAATTGTACTGTCATTTCCTGTTGTTGTTGTTGTTGTTGCAAATTCAAATTCAAATTCAAATTATTAATAGTATTATTATTAGTATTGGAATTAATTTGATTTGGTGGTAATGAGACAAGTGTTGGTTGATCGAAATTTCTAGTGATGGTTTTTTCGGGAGAGTTATTGTTTATATCTGGTAGGACAACAATAATTTGAGAAGCATCATGGTTAGTCGTGGCCACCTCCTCCAATTTGGACTTGTCACTTGCTTGTTCGTTATTGGGATGGAGTTGTGACATTTTTTTACAGTTGTTGCGATGGCATTGATGAGTTTTCGTTGTTTATTTTGAAGCATTGTCTTCATTATCAGAAAAAGGAAGGTGGAGACTTTATGAATCAGGTGAGTATCACTTTCGGCGTTATCATGTTTGTATTGTGGACGTCGTTGCTTGATATCATCATGTGTGCCTTGATTTTCAATGCAATTGATGAATGGGATTCTCTCTCTTTATGAAGGGAGGATGTTTTGTTGAGGAGAACAATAATTACAGTTCCTTATTAGCATTTGAAATATACGTACGAAATGAAGGAAGTTGGAAATGGAACTGCTTTAGAACAGTAGTAGTTCAGGATTTTTACATGACCAAACACTTGTCCTTATTATTTGGTCCTGTGGCTACGTGAAGTGTATCACCAAAGTTGAAGACATACTTGACGAAACTGTTCCAATCGATGGTTCTGGCTACTTTTCCAAATTTGTTGCACTTGTGGTACTGTTGGACAATGGCTTGTTCTAGTGCCTTATTATTGGTAATGTTTTCTCCAGTTTCACTGCTCACTTCAACATAGATTGGAGGAACAGAGCTGTAGATAAATTTGTTCTTGATGATATCTTCCACTTGTTCCTTAATATAAATGTGTTCAGCAACATCGTCCATAATATCTAACTTGTTACCACAAATAATGATAGGTATTTGTGAGAGTTCGAGAAAATGTTTCCTGTTGAGAATTTGATCAATAATCTTTTGAGTGTATGGGAGAGTTTGTTCTGAATTAGTCAAATCAAAAAGAAGGATGAATAAATCAAAATGACTAATATTGTAATCTAAAAGTATATCAGATACATCTTGTCCAGGTGTATCAAAAATATCAATACTATAAGTTTCATTATCAATAGTTATCAAATCATCCTCTGGGTTATGCTCAAAGAATTCGTCATAGTTTCTGTGAGCAAATTTCATTGAGAGCATACTTTTACCTGTTGTCTTGTCTCCCATGATTGCTACCCTGATGATTCGAGATTGAGATTCTGTTGAGAACTTGTCATTTTCCAAATATTCCTCTTCCTCAATTTGTTCCTCACTTTTTCTGAATGTTTTGTACATGGTTTCATAATCGAGAGTATTATTGGAGCTGTATGTACGTCTGTGAGATACTCGTGAAGGAGTGGCAGTTAAGCCGCCTGCACCACCTCTTTGTGGTGTAGTTGGAATGGAGCCCATTGATGTATTATGAGAGGGAGTTGGTGGAAAATTAAAGCTGTCATGAGGGAGCAATAGTAAATTTGAATTTGATGATGAATTGCTCAATCCTCGGTCTCTTGTAGTATCTGATAATTGATCAAGTGATACTCTGCCTGAATATTCTGTAAGTTCTTCGTTACTATTGCAATCGGTAGAAGTAAGGTTAGTGAGTGTGTTGGTATTATTATTTACAAAACTTCCATTTCTTGATGGAGTTCTTGGAGAAGCTAAAGAACCAAAATTGGCACTACTTGGATAATCGAAACTATTCGTCACATTGAATGATTGAGATCTGCCGTGGCGTACTCTGGATGGATGTTTCCTCTTTCCTTTTTCAATTTCTGTATTTCTGTACAAATACCATGCGTGATTAATTTTTGAAAACAAACCCTTATAGTCTGTTGGATTGGATTGTGAAATATTGTCACTGATTGATTGTCTGTGGAAGTAATCAGTGTTTTTCAGAGCTGTCAGTGAGATTGCTTTATCAGGTTTCTTATCTGGCATTTGCTCACTTATGTGTTTCAGCTCGGTAACGTAATTTCTAATATCTCTGAGAATGAGCCTATTGGTATCCTCTGATGTCATCCACAAAAACTTTAAATGTAAAACATCTGCATAAAAGATTGGTGAAAAGTGCCTTCTCACAACAAAAAAGAAATCCTTATTGACAAGCTCCAAGCTATGAATGACATCTCTCATAACAGTCACACAGTCAATCAATCCTATCATACCCTTTCCATATATTTTAGAAGGACGACGAGCTCTTCTACTGGAAGAATGCGACGTAGTATTTACACTAAGCAAATTCATTGCTGATTGAAAAATGTTATTCACCATACCCTTGCTTTCTGCAACATCCACTCTATCCGAAATGATTGGAATTAAAAACAAGAGAATGTGTTTAGTAATTTCTCTATTCCACATGATTTTTGTACTATGTCCAAATCCAAAATTAAATAAATTCTTCCTAACTGATCCTCCTTGAACATTTCCACGATCAATAGAAGTTCTTATATCGGATGAACGATCAATACTCGTTCTAGAAACTGCATTAGGTGGTGTTTTTAAAGGTGATGCTCCTTTTAAATTAGGTGTTGCTGGTGATATATTTTCATTAATATTATTGTTGGCCGTAGTGGCAAAAGTTATTGATGTTGTAGAAGGAAGAATTGATGATGATTTTGATGGTGTTTTACTCTCCTTTTCGGGTGGCGAAGCAATACTAACTGTTATCAGTGTATTAGAAGAATCGGATGTATTCTTGTTCTTATTTGTGTCCGACACTGATGATGATGAGGATGTTGTTGATTGTTTACTCATCACGAATTTTTTTTTTAATTTAATTCAAAAAGACCATTTTTACTTTTAGTTAACGGTACAATTTTTGCGAGACAGGCAACGTTTGCTTGCTTGAAAAAACAATATTAAGGGCGGGAAATCTTGAATAACTTTGCAAAACCAATTCATTTATTTAAAATTAAGGAATAGGCAAGCTTTTAAAAAAAAATCAACAATATCCCCGTGCGGATTTTTTCATTTTCGTTGAACGAGGATATGAAGAACGTTAATACAGCAATTGTGTTACGAGGACTCCTTCATAATAATTGTTTCGGAGTGCTGAAGGGAAGGAATAGAATGGGAATCACGAGGAGAGGAGGATATAATCCCTTCGGAATTCAATTTTTGGTAGTATTCTTAATAATTACGATTTATGTTACCTCGACTTGGAAGGAAACAGTTTTCTGCAGAGAACAAGTTAATTACCCTGCCCAGCAACATCAAAAGCTTGTGGAAAGTTTGTTGAATATTGTAACCTCTCCCAGAGAGAGAAACATATCGGAGACATTTTCCCTCTTGTCTCACAATTATTATTTAAAGGTTTACGGTTCTGTGAAGGATTCATCAATTAGCTTTTCAGGCTCGTACAAAGGACCAAAAGCTTGGGAATTGTTTTACAAACAGTTGAGTAAGGTTTTCAATTTGAATAAGTATGAATTTAAGGAATACACATTCATGGCTGGTCCTACTGGTCAAGTGAATCAATCGAGCGTTGTTCAGTTATACGATATTCATCATACAATTTATCAGAGCCTTAAGGTTTCAATAAGTGAGATGATTTATTTCGAAAGTGATCCTCTCAATAATGTAATCACTGAAACTCATTTGTTTTGTGACACCAATCACTTGGCAAACGTTCTTTCAGTTGACAGTGGAAAGACAGACACTGAAACTTTCTTTGTTGTTGGAGCTGGATTAATTGGCATGCTAATCGGATCAGGTAGGTCAATTTCACGTATTTTATTTCCTAACTGGATCTATTATTGCTTTAAATGATCTTGTCAAAAGCCATTGCAACAACTGCCATTCTTCTTTGTCAAGATTTGAGAAGGAGAATAAAACAAGCGGAAAAGGATAGGATGAGAAAGGTTACCCTCATGAACAATTCATTTACCGAGCCGCCAATGTTATTGAGATGAAGCTCAAGTAATTTGATTTACAGTTTCGTTTTCAAAAGAGGATCTTGAAAAAACGGACTTATTTCTTCTGTGTTAGAATACAACTTGGAAATCGTCTCATATTGCTTTGGTAAATTGGAAACAAACCAAGAAGACCGTTATTTTTAAAACGGCCGTACATTTACATAAGGTCCGCTAATGATTTTTTTAACAAGACGGTCAACCAGCAAGTCTCAATCAATTTGCTTCAACTCCAACTCAAATATTAGCGCACGATTAATTATAGCTTCCTACGCAGTATTGTGCACGTGTTGAAAATGTTGTTTTCCTTGATAACGCAATTACGTAATGAAATGCATTACTCTCAACCAAAAAAAACAAATTGACAGCTCTCGACAGCAATCATTACAGCATAAAACATTCTCTAAACAACCATTTTACTAACAGACTCAAATAAAAATGGTTTCCGATAGTCACTTCCACTCCTCATCCTCCCAGCAGGATTTCCAACAAGTTGTGCAACAATACAAGTTTACCATAGAAGCAATTTTCGATAACCAAGAAGCAAGAGCTTTGTTTAGAAGCTTTTTGAAGAAGGATTTGAATGAAGGTATGTTGTGATGTTTAGTTTTATTGTTTATTAATTACAAATTCTTTACAAATAGAACCATTCCTTTTCTATGAATCTGTTGAAAAGTATAACAAGACAAGACTTGATAAGAATAGATTCGAATTGGCTAGTGAAATAATAGACAAGTTTATGGTTGTGGGAGCTCAACACGAATTGAATTTGTCAACTACACTGAGGAATGACATTTTGAAATCATGGAAACAAATATACGAAAAGAATAAGGATTTACCTGACTCTGATTTGATAACGTGTCCAAAAGATTTATTCACTAAGGCCCAAGACATAATTTTCATTGAACTCAAACAAGATAATTTCCCAAGATTTGTAAATTCAGAAACTT